GCAAGGAAAAAAATCAAATGTATAGAAACTGAATAATATCTTGCTTAAAAACTACGGGGTAACAGAAGAAATGAAGGATGGAATAAAAAGCAAGCACGAAAACACATCATACCAAAACCTTTGGGACACAGCAAAGGCAGCGCTCAGAGGTTAATTTATAGTAATAGATGCACACATCAAAAAGAAGAAAGGAACAAAATCAAAACATCAGCTATACAACTAGAACAAATAGAAAGAGAATGGCAAAAGATGCTCATAGCCACCAGAAGAAAGGAAATAATAAAGATCAGAGCAGAAATAAATGAAATAGATAATAGAAAAACAATAGAAAGAATCAACAAAACCAAAAGCTGATTCTTTGAAAGGACCAACAAAATTGACAAACCACTGGCCAAACTGACAAGAGAAAAACAGGAGAGGATGTAAATAACCCAAATAAGAAATTAAATGGGGTACATTACAACAGATTCAACTGAAATAAAAAGGATCATAACAGAATACTACGAAAAATGGTATTCTAACAAACTTGAAAATCTAGAGAAAATGGACAAATTTCTAGAAACACATTACCTACCTAAACTAATACAAACTGAGATCGAAACTCTGAACAGACCCATAACAAGAAAAGAGATTGAAAGGTAATTAAAAAACTCCCAACAGAAAAAAAGCCCTGGCCCAGATGGCTTCATTGGAGAATTCTACCAAACATTCAGAGAAGAGTTTGCACCAGTACTACTCAAACTATTTTAGAACATAGAAAAGGAAAGGATACTTCAGAATTCATTCTATGAAGCCAGCATAACCCTGATACCACAACCAGGTAAAGACACCACAAAAAAAGAACATTACAGTCCAATATATCTCAGGAATGTAGATGCAAAAATTCTCAACAAAATTATAGCCAATAGAATTAAGCATAATATAAAAAAAAAAAAAATACACCCCAACCAAGTGGGATTCATACCAGGTATGCAAGGACGATTCAACAATAGAAAATCAATCAACATAATCCGCCACATAAATAAAACAAAGGGAAAGAATCACCTGATAATCTCGATTGATGCAGGAAAGGCATTTGATAAAGTCCAACACCTATTTCTGATAAAAGAAACTCTCAATAAAATAGGTATAGAAGGGAAATTCCTCAACATAATAAAGGGCATCTATACAAAACCAACGGACAACATCATTCTTAATGGAGAGAAGCTGAAAACACTCTCCCTGAGAACAGGAACAAGACAAGGATGTCCTTTGTCACCACTCCTATTTAACATTGTGCTGGAAGTTCTAGCTAGAGCAATAAGGCAAGAAAAAGAAATAGAGGGCATCCAAATTGGTAAGGAAATAGTAAAATTGTCCCTATTTGCAGATGATATGATACTATACATAGAGAACCCTAAAGATTCCATAAGAAAACTACTGGAACTAATAGAAAGATTCAGCAGAGTAGCAGGATACAAGATAAACATAAAAAAATCAGTTGGATTCCTATACACCAATAAAGAGAACTACGAAAAGGAAATCAGGAAAGCAATACCATTTATAATAGCTCCTAAAACAACAAAATACTTAGGAATAAATCTAACCAGGGATGTGAAAGACTTATACAAAGAAAACTACAAAACACTACTGCAGTAAACCAAACAAGACCTACATAAAAAGAAAAGCACATCATGCTCATGAATAGGTAGACTCAACACTGTGAAAATGTCAATTCTACCCAAAGCAATCTACAAGAACAATGTAGTCGCAATCCAAATACCACAACATTATTTAATGAGATGGAAAAACTAATTATTAACTTTATATGGAAAGGAAATAGGCCCCAGATAAATAAAGCACTATTGAAGAAGAAGAATAAAGTAGGAGGACTCGCAGTCCCTGACCCCAGAACCTCCTATACAGCCATGGGAGTCAAAATAGCCTACTACTGGTACAACGACAGATACATTGACCAATGGAACAGAATTGAGAACCCAGATGTAAATCCATCCACCTGTGCTCACCTGATTTAGACAAAGGCCCAAAGTCCATTAAATAAGGGAAAAGAGAGTCTTTTTAACAAATGGTGCTGGCAAAACTGGATGTCCATCGGCAAAAAAAATGAAACAGGACCCATACCTCACATCATACACAAAAACTAATTCAAAATGGATCAAAGACCTAAATATAAAACCCAAAACTATAAAGATCATGGAAGAAAAATTGGGTCAACACTAAGGGCCCTAATATACAGTAAAAATAGGATACAGACCAAAACTAACAATACGTAAACACGAGAAGATAAGCTAGATAACTGGGATCTTCTAAAAATAAAACACTTAGGCTCATCAAAAGACTTCACCAAAACAGCAAAAAGAGAACCTACAGACTGAGAAAAAAATTTTCACTATGACATATCCGACAAAGGTCTAATCTCTAAAATCTATAGGAAAATCCAATACGTCTACAACAAACAAACAAATAATCCAATTAAAAAATGGGCAAAGGATATGAACAGACACTTCACCAAAGAAGACATTCAGGTGGCTAACAGACACATGAGGAAATGCTTACGATCACTAGCCATTAGAGAAATGCAAATCAAAACCACAATGAGATTCCATCTCCCCTCAACATTACTAGCATGAATCAAAAAAACAAAAAAATTAACAAATGTTGCAGAGGCTGCAAGGAGCTTGGAACTCTTATGCGATGCTGGTGGGAATGCAAAATGGTACAACCATTTTGGAAAACAATATGGTGCTTCCTTAAAAGGTAGAAATAGAAATACCATAAGATTCAGCTATCCTACTCCTAGAAATATATCCTAGAGAAATAAGAGCCATCACACGAATAGACATATGCACACCCATGCTCACTGTAGCATTATCCACAATAGCAAAAAGACGGAAACAATTTAAGTGCCCATCAACAGATGAATGGATAAAAAAACTATAGTACATACACACAATCAAACACTATGCAACAATAAAGAACAATGATGAATCTGCAAAACATCTCACAACATGGATGAATCTGGAGGGTATTATGCTGAGTGAAATAAGTCAATCATAAAAGGACAAATGCTGTATGAGACCACTGTATGGATTGAATTGTGTCCCCCAAAAATATCTGTCAACTTGGCTAGGTCATGATTCCCAGTACTGTATGATTGTCTACCATTTTATCATCTCATGTGATTGCCCTATGTGCTGTAAATGCTATCATTATGATGTAATACGATGGATTAGTGGCATTTATATTGATGAAGTCTACAAGATTAGATAGTGTCTTAAGCCAACCTCTTTTGAGATAGAAAAGAGAGAAGTCAGCAGAGACATGGGGACCTCATACCACCAAGAAAGCAGCACTGGGAGCAGAGTGCTTCCTTTGGACTTGTGGTTCCCGCGCTGAGATGCTCCCAGACCAAGGGAAGAGTGATGACAGGGACATTCCTCCAGAGCTGACAGAGAAAGCCTTCCCCTGGAGCTGACGCACTTCTAGCCTATTAGACTGTGAGAGAATAAATTTCTCTTTGTTGAAGCCATCCAATTGTGGTATTTCTGTTATAGCAGCACTAGATGACTAAGACAACCACTATTATAAAAACTTATGAAAAGGTTTACACAGTAAGAAGCAATCTTTGATGGTTACGAGGGAGGGGAGGGAAAACATTAAATAGACAATAGATAAATGGTGTCTGGTGAAGGGTAAGACAGTACACAATACTGAGGAAGTCAGCACAACTTGACCAAGGCAGGGTCACAGAAGCTTGATAGACACATCCAAATTCCCTGAGGGACTGAATTACCGGGCTGAGGGCTGGGGCTATGGTCTCAGGTCTAGCTTAATTGGCATAACCTAGTTTATAAAGAAAATGTTCTACATCCTACTTTGGTGAGTAGCATCTGGGGTCTTAAAAGCTTGTGAATGGCCATCTAAGATACTCCACTGGCCACAACACATCTGGAGCAAGGGAGAATGAAGAAAATCAAAGACAGAGGGGAAATATTAGTCCATAGGACTAATGGACCCCAACTACCCCAAACTTCACCAGATTGAGTCCAGCACAACTAGATGGTGCTCGGCTACCACCACTGACTGCTCTGGACAGAGCTGGAGGAAAACGTAGAACAAAATTCTAACCCACAAAAAAAGACCAGACTTTCTGGTCTGACAGAGACTGGAGAAGTCTCCAGAGTACGGCTCCCATACACCCTTTTCACTCAGCACTGAAGTCACTCCTGAAATTTACCCTTCAGCCAAAAACTAGACAGGCCCATAAAACAAAACCAGACTAAATGGTCACAGCAGCCCAGGGGTAAAGGCTAGAAGGCAGGAGGGGACAGGAAAGCTGCTAATGAGGAATCCAAGTTCGAGAAGGGGAGAGTGTTGACACATCAGGGGGTTGGCAACCAATGTCACAAAACAATTGTGTATTGTTTAATGAGAAACTAATTTGCTCTGTAGACCTTCATCTAAAGTACAGCAAAAAAATTTCAAAAAAAACAAATAAATAAAAGTTGGCGTTTCAAGCCTACCCAGCAGTACCGAGGAAGAAAAGGCTTGGTGATCTGCTTCCATTAAGATTTCAGTCAAGAAAACCCTATGGAGCCATTCTACTCTGTAACACATGGGATCGCCATGGGTTGGAATCGACTCAACAGCAACTACCCACAACAACATCCTCTACCTTTCTAAAATAATTGCTACGGTTTTCCGTAGGTTCAAAAGAAAAAGAATGAAATGGCAGAATTTTCAAGTTACTTGAATTACCTGAGTTCCTTTAGACTTTTTCTAATTTGCACATTTGTCTTAACCTACTTAGTAATTTCTCAAACCATCAGCAACACAAGACATAAATACCCCTTAAGCAATAGTTTATGGGCTAGTGTTCTACTTAAATAAGTTTAGGAAATGCAACTGAGATGTATGCTTAACATGCAGTTCCAAGGCTTACTGTTTTAAAACTTCATGTGTTAAATGTTAAAATGTCCCTTAAGCAAAGGATTAAATACCTCCCAAACAAGTCGCTGTGCAAGGGGTAAACCCAGCGTACTCCCAGTCATAAGTCATCTCGCTGTCCTTCTCCTGGACAGAGGCATCCAGCTCGAGGGAGGCAAGACTCTCCTCACAGGCTTCCAGGAGGCAAGGCCGTTCAGTGGGCAGCTTGGGGCCCTCACACTCCTCCTCAGGAAGTTCAGTCTCTGCCTGAGTGAACGTGAGGAGGACGAGGCACTTCACTTCACGGACCTGAACGCCCGGCCCACACGTGGTACTGCAGGCTGACCAGGGCTCTGGAATGAACCTATGGAAAACCAGAGAGCCACAGGAGGACACCAGTGATGGTTAATACAGGCCATACAAGGAGGAGTGACAATCACTCTGTGAAGGAAAAATAACCAGCTTCATTCAGAGGGAAGTCAGTACATTTGGAATGCTCTATTTCTGTTGACAACCAATTATGTAGTTAACAAAGCCTCCAATCTTACTAGAAACACAAAGAATTTTTCACTAGGGATACACTAAAACTTTGCATCCATTTTATAACTCAAATTTTGTGCAATGACCTTTGGAAAACATCATTTCAAAGGTTTTCTTATAGAGATAATGTCTAATATAATTTCTTTTAGAGTGTGGAGATTTTCACCAATATTCATTCAACCAATCTTTATTGAGTTTATCCTTTGTAACAGGTAGGATTTTATTAAACTGTTTTAATATTTAGAATCTAAATTATAGGGTAACTTAAATGCTTTCTGCTGAGTGGATAAGGCTTTAATATTCTTTTATGTGTAATATAGAAATATACTAAGCTCCTGGCTTCCTTTGAAAATATAAAAGGTATTGCACAGTCTAGCTGAATAAAGTAGTGCTTTCTTACCCTGAATTACTATCCACTAAATCTGGGGTTGGCAAACTATGGCCTGCAGGCCAAAGCTGGCCTGCCTGTTTTTGTATATCCCACCAGCTAAGAATGGATTTTACACATTTAAATGGTTGGGAAAAAAATCAAAAGAAGAATGATATTTTGTGACATATGAAAATTACATAAAATTTATTTTCAGTGTCCATCAATAAAGTTTTATTGGAACACAGCCACACTCATTCATTTACGTATCATCTAGGGCTGCTTTCACTCTACAGTGGCAGAAGTGAGTATTTGCAACAGAGACCGCATGGCCTGCAAAGCCTAAGATATTTACTATCTCGCCCTTCATAGAAAATGCCTGTTGACCTGAGCACTAAGTTAAAAAAAAACAAAAAGATGCATCAGGGACAAATGTATTTAGGATACTCTGAAGCAACATTTTGCATGATGAGATATTAACAGGATTTACATGAGAAAGAGTTCAGTGATCGAGTAAGTTTGGGAAACACTGGGTTTACAACATTCAACAAGTTTATTTACTGCAAAACTTTTGCAAAGACCATGATATGTGAATGTATACTGTAAATATCTAAGAGGGGAACATGATATACAACATTTCACAAATTTAAATGAATACAGACTCCCTGGTGGCACAATGATTAAGAGTCGGCTGCTAACCAAAAGGTTGGCAGTTCAAATCCATCAGCAGCTCCTTGGAAACTCTATGGGGCAGTTCTACTCTGACCTATGGGCCACTATGAGTTGGAATCAACTCGATGGCAATAGGTTTTGGTTTTGTTTTTTTTTTAGTCAAGGGCTAGTGTTCTACTTAAATAACTTTAGGAAATGCTGCTGAGATGTGTGTTTAATATGCAGTTCCAAGGCTTAGTATTTAAAACTTCGTAAAGATTGGTTGTAAGTTTCTCCTGGAAGTTACCCAATCCAACCTCCTTTCCCCAGACAAAACTTACTACTGTTGTCCATGACAGCACATCCCCAATCATCAGAATGTAACCCCATTGCTATATATGAGCCCAATACCCATTGTCATCAAGTCAATTCCAGCTCATAGTGACCTTATAAGACAGAGCAGAACTGCCCCAAAGGGTTTCCAAGGCTGTAATCTTTACGGAAGCAGACTCCCACATCTTTCTCCCATGGAGCAGCTGGTGGGTTGGAACCACTGACCTGTCGGTTAGCAGCCAAGCGCTAACCACTGTGACACCAGGGTTCCTTATAAGCCCAATAAAGAATTATAAATAAATACAAAACATTGTTGAAAAATCATTAGTGGGGAATTCTATCCTCTATTCCTCATTCTCCATGAGAAGGTTTGCCCAACTCTCCTTAAAAGGTTTGAATCTTCTAATGGTGTGTGCACTTCTTTTATTGTCATTTTTCCCCCACTTTGCTTCTTAGTAATAAAAACTTCACAACTGATATTTTGTTTAAATGGGAAGTAAGTATGTTCATTCAAATTGCACTCCTCTGTCTTGGTGATTCAAGATCCTGGGAGGAGATGAAGTAAATGAGAAGGGTCACTGGAGAACTCCTAACAGGGAGAATGATGGTGATACCCAGTGCTTCCTTAGGTTTCCTGGATATTTCAGAGTTGGTTTTCAAAGATCCTTTTAAAAGACTTCTTTACAAACAGATGGCAGAGCTGTCCAAATTAACCATGAGTGAATTTTTAAAAAGTCATACAAATAAAAAAACTATGCATAATTTAATGTGATTTTCTTCTCTTTCTCTCTCTCTATATAAATATATATGTACCTGTATCTATTATGATGCAGAACATTGTGAATGCTATTATATCTTTATTAGTATACGTGTGTGTGTATGTGTGTTGTCGTTGTCATTGCTGTTGTTAGGTGCCATTGAGCCGGTTCCGACTCATAGCAACCCTACGTATAATAGAACAAACCATTGCCTGGTCCTGCGCCATCCTTACAATCATCATTATGCTTGAGCCCATTGTTGTAGCCACTATGTCAATCCATCTTATTGAGGGGCTTCTTCTTTTTCGCTCACCCTCTACTTTATTAAGCACGATGTCCTTCTCCAGGGACCGGTCCCTCCTGATAACATGACCAAAATATGTGAGATGAAGTCTCGCTGTCCTAGCTTCTAAGTAGCGTTTTGGCTCTACTTCTTCCAAAACAAATTCATTCTTCTAGCAGTCTATGGTATGTATATTCAATATTCATCTCCAACACCATAATTCAAAGGCATCAACTCTTCTTCAGTCTTCCTTATTCATTGTCCATCTTTCACACGTATATGAGGCAATTGAAAACATCATGGCTTGGGTTAGGTGCACCTTAGTCCTTAAAGTGACATCTTTTCTTTTTAACACTTTAAGGAGGTCTTTTGCAGCAGATTTTCCCAATGCAATGCATTGTTTGATTTCCTGACTGCTCCTCCCACAGGCATTGATTGTGGATCCAAGTAAAATGAAATGCTTGGCAACTTCAGTATTTTCTGTTTATCATGATGTTGCTTATTGGTTCAATTGTAAGGATTTCTGTTTTCTTTATGTTGAGGTGTAATCCATACTGGAGGCTGTAGTCATTGATCTTCATCAGTAAGCGCTTCAAGTCCTCTTGAGGTTGTGTCATCTATACATCACAGATTGTTATATATGCATATGTATGTTGTTGTTGTTGTTACGTGCCGTCGAGTCAGTCCCAACTGATAGCGACCCTATAGGACAGAGCAGAACTGCCCCATAGGGTTTCCAAGGAGCAGCTGGAGGATTCAAACTACCAACTTTTTGGTTAGCAGCCAAGCTCTTAACCAGTGCACACACATATATACATATATTTTACACAAAAGATATCATAGCATTCACGATGTTCTGTACGTCATTTTTGTTTTTTTTCCCACAGTATTTTTTCTTTAAGAAAGGCATACAGCTGCATGAAGGCATTTTAAGAGTCATAACTGGGTGAAACACAGCCAGAGGAACAGAGGTTACGTTCCCTACCTCTTTGTACAGTGTTCTTACTGTGTGCTATCGAGTCGGTCCAACTCATAGCGACCCCATGTGACAGAGTAGAACTGCCCCCTAGGGTTTCCTAGGCTGTAGTCTTTATGGAAGCAGATCGCCAGGTCTTTTCTCCCATAGAGCTGCTGGGTGGGTTTGAACTGCCAACTTTTTGGTTAGCAGCCAAGCATTTAACCATTGTGCCACCAGGGCTCCTTCTTTGTATGGTAGAAGAACTTCAAAAGAACATCAACTAAATAATGTGAGAGCTTAGTGATGAAACAACAGAATAAAATGGAAAGGAAGACTGCAGAGCTAAGAAAATAAACTGTGAAACACAGTAACACTATTACAATCTAACAAGTGCTTCAGAACCAGGAAAAAACAGAAGAGACATGCCTGAAGATCAAAGGAGACATAGAAGCAAGACTTGAGAAGTGAATGCAGTGTTGAGAGACAGAAAGGAGCTATTAAAGCAATCAGAGCGGTGGCGGAAAGGATGGACTGCGTTTTGGGGGCGAAGGAAATGCTCTATATCTTGAGTAGGGGTGGGGTTTTATCAGGGTATACATCTGTTAAAACTCACTGATGGCGCACTTTAGATAGATGCAGTTTACTGTATGTAAATTGTATCTCTATAAAATTAATTTTGAAAAATGCTATTAGAGACAAAGTAAAAGCAAACCTAAATAATCCAATACTGAAGATAATTGAATTCTTCAAGTAGAGACACTAATACATGAAACAGAAACGTTCAGAAATGGGATATGGAAAAATTTCCCTTAAATGCAGCTGGAAAGCATCCACTCTCTTCCAGGGAAAAGTGATAACAAATTATTACTATAAAAGCCTGGTGTGGTAGACAGAAAAATAGCCCCCCCAAAAAGCCCATTTCCTACTTCCTGGAACCTGTGACTGCGTTACATTACATGGCAAAAAGGACTTTGCAGATGTGATTAAGGTTACTGACCTCAAAATGGGGAAATTATCCTAGATTCTCTGGGTGAGCCTAATTTAATTCACAGGAGTCCTTACAAGCCAAGAAATTTCTCTAGCTGGATTCGACCCATGGCTGCTAGCTTGAAGACGGAAGGAGCCACAAGCCAAAAAATGTATCTAGCCTCTAGAAGCTAAGAAGGACCCCTAGCAACAGCCAGAAAGGAAACCAGATCTCAGTCCTACAACCACATGGAACTGAATCCTACCAACAATCTGAATGAGCCTAGAAGCCTATACTCCTCAAAGCCTCCAGAGAAGAGCCCAGATCAACAGACACCTTGATTTCAGCCTTGTGCGTCCTGGACCAGAGACACCAGCCAAGCCTCCTGGTAAGACATTAAATTTGTGTTGTGATAGTTTGTTACAGCAGCAATAGGAAACTAATACACCTGGTTAAACGATTAAACTTTAAGGATGAAGAAAGAACTGTTTAGGCATCTTGGCACAA